ATACATATATATGTATACACACACAGAGTTAATAGACAAATATATTACAAAGCATACATGCATGATATACATAATTGCAGCTTATTAATTGAGATCATTATGAGAAGTAACTAAGAAATATCTTACTCGGTTTTTCTTCACATTACATCATTAAGCATCGTTAGCAGATCAACTTGAGAGGCTGCAGACTCGTTGTAGTACAAACTTGATTGGAACAGCCCAGAAAAGTTCTCCATCATCTGAGCCGTGAAAATCTCATCATCTAACGGCTGAGAAGGCACGTGAGGAGCCGCCGCCACCACGGCCGGGCCCACCGTGGGGACCTCCGACAGTACGACTGCTTCATGTTCATCGTCATCATTATCGTCGGTAATATTATTATTGTTTCCGGGCCCGACAATACGACGCTCATCGGAATCAGTCGGGTTCGGGTCAGCAGCTCCGATTATGAGATCGCCGCCGTTGATGTTACCTTCGGCGGAAGTGAAGTACCACTTGGTAGGGTCAGCCGGAAATTCAGCGTCTTGGCCGGTGAGTTCTTGCACTAAGGCTCTGAATCTGGAAGGACAAGTCTTGACCTTCATGGGGTTGGATATGTAGACCACCTTCACAGCCTTCGACTTGGGTTTGGTCTTCTTCTTCGTCGATTTTCTCTGGTGCAAACTCGTTGATACTGAGTTGTTCATGGCTGAAAAAAAGCTCGGAGGAGTAGAACTGAACTGAAGCAGACTAATTATGAGAGCTTAATAATCAGAAAGAAGAAGAAATTAAAAGGGTTTTGAGACCGTACGTCGAGAAACTTTCCAAAGATCTGCAGACCTATCCTTATGCGTGTATAATTATGTGTGTCTCTGTGTGTGTATATGTGGATATATATATGAGCTTAGAACTGGGGAGAGGAATGTAAAGGGTTTCGAGAGTGCAAATTACCAAAGAAGGGCTTTTGATTTCAATTTTTGCAGGGAAGAAAATGAATTAGAAGGGGAGAAGATAAAGGCTTGAGAGTGAAAAAGAAAGGGCAGAAAAAAGGAGGAAGCTTTTTTGAGGGAGTAAATGAAAACAAAAGAAAAGAAATATAGGCATCTAATTTCATTGTTGAAACTAGGCGGTAGCGAGGCGCGTGGAGGACACGTGCTTTAAGTACCTGGGGATTGGCTTTTCATTTTAAAATAATAATAATATAATAATAATAATAATAAACTTGTCTCTCACTTTTAAAGCAGTGTTTTTTTCTTTTTTTATTTTGGTCTCTAAACTTATAATTGTTATAATTTAAGTCTTTAATTTTTTATTTTTTAAATCAATCATCTAATATATTTATTTATTAAAACAAATAAATTTTTGAATATATTATCACTTCATCGCTACTGTATGATAAAAAAATCGATTATATAATTGTACGTATATTAAATTTATAATAATTTTAAAAAATAAATAAAAAAAGCTATATGTTCAGATTGAGAGACAGAGGCAACAAAATTTGAGAAAATTACAAATTATGTTTGAATCTTTTAAAGCTATATTCAATTTTAAATATATATATATTAACTCACGTCATATCTTATTTTTATACTGTAGTATATCATCAATATTTATTATTGACATAATTATTTTATAATGACAGTATTTAAAAACTAATTTGTTTAAAAAATAAAGTTAACTAAATGATTTACTCATAACAAAAAATAAAAATTTGAAGACTTGATTATAATAATTTGAAATGTTAAAAATTAAAATTTTAAAAAAGGGAGTTTGAAGTTATGGATTATATTTGCAATTAAGCCTACAAAACCTGAGTAACAATTACCTTCAACAGTCTAAGTTTATTTTATTTAAACTTTTGAATTGGTATCAAAAAGTAAGATATTGCATGCAAAAGACTTTATTTTCTAATTAGTTATAACGCCCTTTTTTTTTTTCTTAATGGCTTAAGGTACGACAATTCCACGGTCACATATGAATGCGTCATTCCAAATCTACCACAAACATAG